CATCATATCATTGGGCTCTTGGGTCCTACGACTTCCTGTTGGATTTGACCAGTGAGGAACACCAGCAGCAGATCAGAAAAAGGTAATTTGGGTATTTATTCCCCAGGATCCCTCTCTGCAGGGTTGCAAGGTTGGTTGTGTCTCTCTAGAGAAGATGACAGCTCAAATCAAACAGCCATCTCCATCAGCTTTCTCTGTTTCTGTGTTTTGATAATTGCTCCCTTTACTCATCTTTAGTCCTAGGGGTAATGACACCCTGCCTGACCCACCTTCGTTATCAGCCCAGGTTACAACACTGTCACTTGTAGTTTCCTACACTTTACTGATGTCTTTGGAAATAATCCCTTTATTAAATTACTCTCATATTGCTCAGTTTGAGAATCCCATCTATTTTCTGCCTGGACCCTGACAGATAGAATGTTTTTCTTGGGGTGATGATTAACCTTACTCTAATTGTCATGCTGACCATTGCTGAGGACCCCTTCAGCAGGCAGCTGTCTCCCATTGGCCTTTCAGGCTTTCAAACCTATGATCTTTTCTCCAGATCAGGCATCCTGTTGCATGGTCTGAGGGCTACCTAGGATGTAGTCCAACTCTTGCCTTCTGCTAAGGAGCTGTCAGTAGTGGCCTTCCTGGAGAAAGCTGGGTTTGCTATGAGGCTTGGCAGCAGGATTGGTAGAGAAAAAAGAACTTAAAGTTGAGAGGGTGCTTGCATCTCTTTTTGCCATGGCAAAACTTGAAGGGCTTATTTCCCAGTCAGTCCCTTTGTTTTTTTTTTTTTTTTTAGAGATAAATATGTAATTTTTTCAGGTGATTAGGGCTAAGGCCCGCAAACTCAAACCCAGTAGGAAATAGCCACTAAAGCCAAGAAAGTTCCAAGTTCCAAGAAAGTGTGCATTTTTCATTCTCTTCTCTTATAGAAGATAATAATCAACACAACATAAACTTTGTAGGGTTTTTTTTATGTTTTAGGAACAATTGTTAGAAATCACTTTATTAAAAGTTATCTGCTGCAGCTGGTAAGGCTGTTTGTCTTCACCATTGTGTTACTTTGAAATATTATTCCTTGAAGAAAATTGACCTAAGAACAAAGATCCATTTGTTTATATTGCCAATTACTTTTATGTTAACTGATAACAATTAATGAACTAATGTTAACTAGTTCGTTAGCTGTATCAGACACACACATACACAAACTTAACAAATTTCGGGATATATTCTGTATATCACAATACATTCTTAGCAAGAACTGAGTAGTAAGCAAAAAGCGAGGTGTGTCAGGAAAGGGCAACACTGTCACTACTAAATGGCTTCAGCTTTCCTGTCAGTTATAAGAACCCTTTCTGGGAGAAGTCAGTGGGCAAGGTTGTGAGCAAGTCTAGGGCGAAGTAGGGCTTACTGTATTTGAGGCATCTGGCAGGGCTGTGTGCCAGGCAGGGACTGGGTTTTCAGGGGAATACGGTCAGTGGGTCACCATGGCTACCTCCAGCCCATTCAAATAAAATAGATCCAAGCAGAACACTTCTGTGGGATAACATGAATGTCCTCAGCTTAACCAGACAATAGAATATGGAGGGACATTGTAAGGTGAGGACTTACCTGCATTAAGAGATTTGGCATTTGCTCTTGGTTCCTGAGAGCTGGACCGCACTGAGGCTAATGAGTGGGGGCTGACCAGACCAAGCGGGACCACCCAGGGGACCAATGTTGACTAAATGTCAGGAAGCATGATATAATCTATCATGGCCTTGTGGGGAGGCTGATAAGATCCCTGAACCCTAAGGCTGAAATGAGCTTCCTGGTTGCTGACCACGATCCGGAAAGAGTAGCTCATCCTTCTTTGGGACTTAGAAGCTCTATGCGGAGACAGCTCCCAGGCCTCACCTTATGGGTCTCTTTGTTTGTTTGTTGTTGTTGTAACAAATCTGTAGACCTAAGTACGGTATACTTTGTGAGATTCCGTGAGTTGCTTCAGTGAATTATTGAACCTACAGGAGCACTGAGAGCCAGCAGAGGCTGGCATCTTCCTATCTGGTAGTTTGAAAGAAGTTGTCCTTCTAACTTGTGAGCTCTGACTCAACTCTGGGTGGCTAAGGTCAGAAAGAGAAAGATAAGAATGGAAAAGTGGGAAGGTGAGGACTGGACCCATCCCCACATTTTGTGGATTGGATTCATGCTGATGCTTACCATGCAGTTAGTGATGATGGTGGGATTTACCTGCTTTACGGCTTACTTAGTGCAGACACTGCTGAGACAATTCCAGTTAAAATAAGAACACGGCCATCTCTTTCTTTGGTTCGATGCTGGTTAATCACAGTCTAATTTTTATTTTCTGATTCTCATTTTAAACATATTTCCCAAAACTATGCTCTTTTTTCTCTTTACCTATTTAATAGCTCCATAACCAGCATCATCAAATTGTGTGGTTCCAGTGCCTGCTCAAATGTATTAATTAGAATTATGTCTAGCCATAAATGACAAAATATGGAAAATAACCTAATAAACATCCAGGCAGGCAGCTCAGAATTGGTACATTGTGCCATAGGTCACACTTTTTCTATCCTATTGGTCTTCAGTGAAGGGACTCTGTTTCCAAATCACTTCATGGACCAAAATGGTGTGTTCTGGGTCCAGCTGTCACATATGCATTCCAAGCATCAGGAAAGCGATCATAGAGGGCAAGGGACCTGTCTTGGTTTCTTAGTGCTGCTATAACAGAAATACCACAAGTGGGTGGTTTTAAAGAACAGAAATTTATTTTCTCATAGTTCAACAGGCTAGAGGTCTGAATTCAGGGTACACGCTCTAGGGGAAGGCTCACTCTGTGTTGGCTCTGAGGGACGATACTTGTTTCAGCTTCTTTAGCTCTGGTGTTCCTCGATTTCTTCGTTTCTTGGAGATCTCCACGTGGCATGTATCTTTCCCTCATTTGTGCTTGTGTTTGCTCATCTCTGTGCCTAATCTGCTGTTTTTATATCTCAAAAATGATTAAGTTTAAGACACTCCCGACACTGATATGGCCTTACTAACATTACAAAGAAAACCCCGTTCCCCAATGGGATTAGTAACCACAGGTATAGGAGTTAGGATTCCAACACATGTTTTTAGGGAACACAATTCAATCCATAACAGAGTCTAATCTCTCTCATAAAAGGGTGATTCCCAGAAGATGCACACATCACTTCCTCTTAAGTCCCACTGCCCAGAATTAAATCAATTGGTCAGATCTTGCTGCAAAGGAGGCTGGGACTCTAGTCTTTATTCTGAGAAGCTAGGTCCTCACTTAATACCCAGGGAACCTATTACAAGGAATGAGGGAAGAATGAAAATTCTCAGCCTCATCGTTGGCTTTGTGCACTGTCTGAAGGTTATACCTTTTGTGGCATCTGCATAGTTCAGTTGCACTGATGACAGATATAATCTGGCTTTTCCTAATACCAGTTCTACAGTTTTTGGGAGGGTATACTATCCCCCTTTGGGGACTGTGCTCTACTTCCTTTGATATAAGGTGGAGAGAGAACTTCGGGATTGGTTAGTACCTTTTGTTCTCCCAAATTTTTGTGGCCAGTAACCACACTGTTTGGTTGATTCCTATGCAAGGTGGCCAATTTTTAGACATTTTTTATCATTTAATCCATTTTACAAAGGAACGGACTGTTGCTCAGGAAGTTTATGTAATCGACCCAAGGTCAAGTAGCTAATAAGTGGAGTGCTGAGATTTGCCCTCAGGCCTATAATTAGTAATTATATTACTTGTATAATTTAATGTATAGTTATCATCTAATTTTTTTTTGCTTTCTATTTGTTTCACCTTTTAAATGTTTCTTTTTTTATCTCTTCTCTTTTCTTCTCTTGCATTGATTGAATTTTTTCTCATTTCACGTTTTTCTCCACAATGAAATCATATTTCTATGCTTTTAGTTATTACCTTTGAACTTTTAATAGAACACTTAGCCTAAATATTTAAGTATTTGTTGAATAAATACAGGAATGAATGAAAGTCTAAATTTAGTCAACATCTTTACTCCTTTTTTCAAACAATATGATCTTATAATTCATTAACTCTAATCGTTCCTTGCCAGGAGGGGAGAGATATAATATTGTCATTTTTTAAAGTTAATGTCATTTGACTGCTTTTAAGAGATTCTCTTTGTTATCTGAAGGTTTACTTTGATTTGTTTAGATGAAGATTTCTTTTTATTTATCCTGTTTTGTATTTGTTGTGCTTCTTGTCTCTGAGAATCCCTGTGTTTTATTAATTCAGGAAATTTCTCAGCCATTAGTTTAGTCTTTGAATAGTACTTTCCTCTTGCTCTATTTCTTCTTCTTTGAATTCTGCCTTAGACATATCTGAGACTTTCTCCAACTTACATGCCTCTTACTTCTTTCTCTATTTTCCATCTCCTTTTACTGTCTGAGCTGCATTCCAGTTAATTTCTTCAGACTTATTTTCCAGTTCACTACCTTTCTCTGCAGCTATGTCTAGTCTGTTTATTGAGGTTTTTATTCCAACTACTATAATTTTCCCTTATAGAAGTTCTCTTTGGTATATAAAAAATATACCTGATAATTTTTTATGTTTTCTTATTCATGTTGTTGTTATTAGTTGCTATTGAGTCAGCTCTGACTCATGGCAACTCATGGCGACCCCTAAAGTGAATTTCATCTTGGTGGTATGTTATCCATTTCTTAGAACCTCCAAACAGTCAAAATAACACATCTAATTCTTAGATACCAACCATCCTCCCTCTAAAACCTGAATGACGGAGAGTGGAGCTCACAGGCTCAGCTCTCTCTGACCTTGAGGTCCAGACATTTAGATCTACAATCCCAGGGCTAGCCTCAAAGTGAGTCTAGTTCCAGGGCCGGCAGCTTAGAGACCCAGGTAGGAGGTTGACAGGCCATGGGAGGCACATCTCAGGTTTGCTGTTGGTTTATTCTCCACTGCCTCCCCCAGCCAAGGGAACTTCCCTGGAATAACAAAGCAAGAAGCTGGGAGCAAGACCATGAGAGAGTTTATTATCCAATTACTGCTCAAGAAGGGAGACAAAGCCAGCAGGATGGTGAAGGTGAACAAGAAATGAGCTGGAGCCGGGATGGTGGCTGGATCGGGGCGGGGAAGGATAACTGGTGAGTCAGATATAAGGACCAGTGCTCAGGCAGTAGCAGGGCTGCATTCCATCCCCAGCAGTTCCTTCTGGTCCCTTTCCTAAGTGGGGGGAGGGGGCGAGATGACCCTGATGGGGAGGGAAAGGGCAATTCCTCTCCCTCAAGGTTGCTTGGCTCTGGAGCCAGCCAGAGCCCACCATCAGCCTCATGGCACCTGATATAGAGTGCCCCAAAGGCCTGGCAGGGATCTGTACTTTCTGGGGGCCACCTGGTGCTAGACAGGGGCTCTTTGGGCTGGGCCACTGCTGAGGCAAGCACAGTGCCACGTAGGACTCACTATAGCAGGCCCTTTCCTCCCCAAACCTTTACTCTCAATTCCTGTGCCCTCTGGACATCCGCGCCACCCCAAATGTACACAGACACATTTTCGGGACTTACCTCCTCAGGTAGGGGTCTTCTCCAGCAGCACAGACACAGGGAGACCAGGGGGGCTAAGGGGGTTAGAGATGCCACCAGCAGCAGAACCCAGACACCCAGGAGCATGGCCTTGAGGCCTACGAACAGGGCCTGGGGACAGAGGACAAAGCCATGGGTATAGAGTGCCCATTGCCATCCCTGCTCTGTCCTTGCTTATCACGGACACATGAACACTCCACCCCTTTGTCCCATACCTGTAGTTTCTGGGGAGAGCTAGGAAGGGAGCCCCACTGGGGTCAGCACGGCCCTGTACCACCCCCAGTGACAACCTCCAGGACCTGCGAGGATCCAGGGGGAGCAGGAATTCCACACACACACTTCTTCCCAGCCTTCGAACCCTTGAGGCATTTATCAGTTTATTCTTATCTTACGATGGGTCTTTCCCGCTGGTCTGTAATACCCCAGCAGCAGAAGCTATTCCTGTTCATGCTGCATCTCTGGTCCCAGCCACCCAGCTGGGTGCGGAGTGGGTAGCAAACGATGTTGCTGGAGAGCCCCCTTCCCCTGCTGCTGGCTGCCCCTCCAGCCCACTCACCCCCAGCATGTTCACGTAGGAAAGGCACAGGTGCAGCCTCCTGGCTTCCTCTGGACTCAGCGTGCTGGGCGGTGCGGTGGGCCAGCTCCTCTGGGAGGAAGTGTCGCAGACATAGTTCCCATCGTAGAAGGGGTTCCAAGGGAGCTCATCAGCCCCAATTTTAATGGCAGCAACAGCAGTGGAAAAAGCTGTCAGAGCGAGCAGGGTCCTCAGGAAGCCCTGTGGGGAGAGGACAGGGGCCGTCGTGGCGAGTTCACAGTCTCTTCTGGAGCCCAGCCTGGGGAGGCAGGGGCTGGGCCACATGGAGCGGGCAAGATGGGGCAGGAGGCTTGGGACGACCCCAGCCCGAGGGCCTTCCTGAACTCACCCAGCAGACGCCACCCCGTTTCTCACGAAGGAAAGCAGCAGCTCCAGCCAGCACAGCCTGGGGAGAAGTTGAAGCCGGAGCAGGGTGAGGGCAGGAAGGGCAACTTCCCTCATGTCACTGCTTCTCTTCCCTCTGTGACTACCCTACCAGCTGGCCGCCCAGCAGGCCCCTTCCCAGCATGGGGCCTGGATGAGCTCCCGAGGCTGCAGGACACTGCTGCAGTGACGTCTAACCATGCTTGTGGTCACTGCCAGCTCGAGGCCTCCCTTCCCCACCACCTTGTTTTCAAGCAGCACCACCTTTTCTGAAAGTTCAAGGGTCAAGTCTTGTGGATGGAACAAGACCGCCTGGATGCAGGAACCAGGTCCCTAGAGACTACCTCCCTCCCCACCAAGGGCTACTCAGCACCCACCTGTCTGTCCAGGCTGCTCCCCTACCCCTGGAATGAAGGCCTGAGACATGGAGGTAAAAGCCAGGCCATCTTGGCATCAAAGGAGACCCCTTACCTCATCTCCTGCCACTTCCCTGAATCACACCCTCTGTCTGGTGGTCCTTCCCTCCCAAGCAAGGTCTGAGGGAAGTGGGGTGGGTGGTGGGGTGGTGAAAGGGGCCTGTGAGGCAGGGTGGGAGCTTCAGGAGCTGGTCCTGGAGACTCCCCTGTGGCAAGAGTGTCTCCTGGGAAAGGGGGGAGATGAGGTGGTGTTTGCTGCGAACGGTAGGGGCGGCAATGTGGCAGGAAAGCACTGGGAGGGGTCGGAGGGCTGGCTGCCAACTGGACACGTGGCGTCACTGCCCTGGGCTATTTCTCACATGCAGAGGGGGATTGGATTGCTAACATTCCACCCTACAGTGTTGATGGGGATGGTGATGAAGGTGATGGAAATGACGACAGCATGTCTACTGCCCTTGAGAGCAGGTCCTCGCCCGCCCCTCCTCGAGCCCGTCAGCCTTCCTTCCCGCTCCACTCACCACTACCCCTGTCCAGATGGCAGCCCCTGAGTCCAGCAGGTGGGAGTATCGGAAGATGTAGAGGAATCCTCCCAAGACCCCGCTCAGTATGCCCAGCACGATCTGCGTCACCTAAAAGAGAGTCCAGCTTCCAGAGTGTGGGGGTGCAGGGTCAACCTCTGCCCCAAATCTCAGGGCAGCTTGAGGTCCTGACACTCCAGGCATTACTGGTTAAACCCCCAGACTAGCACGCGCCAGCTACCCTGAGCCTGGTCGAGGGAGAGTGCAGGGCTCCACCCAGTGGGGCTGTGAAAGGACAGTGCTCCGCTCCCGCATCCCTTTAACCCACAGCCGACCAGACCCACAGCCGACCAGACCCACAGCTTTGATCGAGAAGGTCAGCAAGTGAGAAAAAGCCAGAATAGAGATCCGGTGTGCTAACTGGAGTGAAAGTACCACATGGAAGCAGTCTGTACTCACCCAGGATGCCACCAGCAGCCGGCTGCTACCTGGGGCCTGGGTGGCGGTGCCCTTGGGACGGGCCCAGGTCCGCAGCTGGGAGCCCACAGCCAGCAGGAGCTTGGCCAGAGCAGACTCCTGGTGGATGTGCACGTCAATGTGGGTGGGCTGGGCTGCCACAGGGGCCAGCTCACCACCGTCTGCAGTCCCTGCAGAAGTGGACATCCTGCCTGGGGGGAGGAAGGAGCATCAGTGAGGACAAGGTGGCACAGGACAGTTTACATTTTCAAAGATTTTGTTGGCATTGGGGAGGACAGACAGTGGGGGCGGAGACACTGCACTGGGCCCTAGTCACCAAGCTGCATCCCCATCTCTCTCAAAGGTGTCAGGATGGGGGTAGCTTGGCTCTAAGCCTGCTGCACCTTCTCCTTTGTCCCATGTGCTGTGGTCCCCCACACCCTTCCCCCACAGCCTCGGGGGTCTGGTCCAGCCAGTGCCACATACTCCTAACCGCCTCGCCCCTCTACTAGCCTTGAGGGTGTGTGACCACTGCCTGCCCAAGGCCCAAGGCCCTCCTCTTTGCCTCCCTCCTCGGGAGCCCTCAGGTTAGAGGGCAGACCCCCATCCCATGTCCCTGACTCCTGATGAGCCTTCTGTTGTAGCAGCTACCCCACAGCGGGGCTCCAGGGCCCTCCTCAGCCTCCCTCCCCGCCAAGGGCTGCTCAGCACCTACCTGCCCCCTGTAACAAAGACCTTAGTTGGGGGTGGGGGTGGAAGAAAAGGCCAGGCTATCTTGGCATCAAACAGAACCGCTTACCTCCTCTCCCGCCACCTCCCTGGAGTCACACCCTCTGTCTGGTGGTCCCTCCCTCCCAAGCAAGGTCTGAGGGAAGCAGGGGTAGAGGGGACCTGTGAGGCAAGGTGGGGGCTTTGGGGAATGGTCTTAGATACTCCCCTGGGAGGGAGTCCTGTGCAAGAAAGTCTCCCAGGGAAGGAGCCAACGGGGCTGTGGGGGCCCTGCCTCACCTGCTTGCCTCTGGGCCCGGGCGACAGAGTGCTCAAAGGGAGAACCAGAACCGGGAGGAGCCTGCGCTGGAGCTGAGACAGAGGGAGAAGGAAGTTGTCTGAGAGTCAGTAAGGGAAGCTGGAGGGAGGGGGATGATCGACTGCAGCACCGCAATTTCCCAGCAGAGAGCCAGGGCAGAGGGGCCTCTCTGGGGTTTTCCAGCTGCTAGTGGACCAATGGAGCCCTGGTGGCACAGCGGTTAAGAGCTTGTCTGCTAACCAAGAGGTCAGCAGTTCAAATCCATCAGCTGTTCCTTGGAAACCCAATGGGGCAGCTCTACTCTGTCCTATAGGGTCATGACTCCACAACAACAGGTTTTTTTTTTCAGTAGATCAATCAGCTCTGGTGAGCTGGAGAGAGTGATGGTGAGGGTGGGTGGCCTTGGGGACACAGCTGAGGAACTCTAGGACATACTATGAGGCTGTCCTCTCCCCCCCCCCACAGGGGTCAGTGTTTTCAGAAGAGCTGTATATGCTTGTGCTGGCGTGGGGTGGTAGGGAGGGATCTGAGTGTGCGTGTTATCTGAGTGTGAGTGTGTGCTGTCTGAATGGGTGTGAATGTGTGTGTAGTCTGAATGTGTGTGTGTGCGTGTTATCTGAATGAGTGTGAGTGTGTGCTGTTTGAATGGGTGTGAGTGTGTGTTGTCTGAATGGGTGTGTTATCTGTCTGAATGTGTGTGTTATCTGAATGGGTGTGTGTGCTGTCTGAATGCATGTGAGTGTGTGTTATCTGAGTGGGTGTGAGTGTGTGTGTAGACTGAATGTGTGTGTTATCTGAATGAGTGAGTGTATGTTGTCTGAATGGGTGTGAGTGTGTGTGTATGCTGTCTGGATGTGTGTTCTCTGAATGGGTGTAAATGTGTGTGTGTGTGTTATCTGAATGGGAGTGAGTGTGTGTTGTCTGAATGGGTGTGTGTGAGTGTGTGCTGTTTGAATGCGTATGGGTGTGTGTATGTTCTTCAAAAGGTCCCTCTGCCTTCTGTGAACATGATCATCTATTTAAGACCGAAAATCCCCAGAGGGGCCCTTTTGCCCCAGCTGTTTGCTGGGAAACTGTGATGCTGAAGCCCAGCCCCTCATCTCTCTCATCCCTTTCTGACTGTCAGCCAACTTCCTTCTTGCTTGTCTGGTTTCAGCTCCAGCGCAGGCTCCTCCTGGCTCTCCCTTTGTGCGCTCTGTCTCTGGGGCCCAGAGAAAGCAGGTGAGGCAGGGCCCCCACGGCCCAGTCAGCCCCTTTCCTGGGACACTCTCTTGCACAGGACTCTTTCCCAAGGCAGTCTCTAAGACGAGGCCCGCAAAGCCACGACTCTGCCTCTCAGGTTACCCTCAGGACTTAGCTGGAGGGCAGGACTCACTAGACATTTCCCTCCGGGAAAATGGCTGGGCAGGGGGGAAGGGGAGAGGGCTGGGCTTGGTCAGCTCTGGCTGCTCTTTCCTCCATCTGCCCAGTGCCTCCCCTGATTCTGGATGGTGTGGGGGGTTCAGGCAGTTGGTGCTGAGCGAGCTTTGAGAATGGAGCTCTGCTGGGGAGCAGGACTGGGGTGGAGGCACAGGGCAGAGAGGGGTACTGCCCTCTTTCCCCAGCTCCAGGGAGAAGTGTCCAAGACAGCAGGGTCAGGGTTCAGATCCACTGAGGCCAGAGGAAGAGCAGAGGAGGCAGATCTGGGGATTGGACAGGACTGGGGGAAGTGGTGGTACCCAGGGCTCAGAGGTATTGAAGCCCAGGCTGCTAACTTTTTGCTGGTCCCTGGGCCCTGACAGGAGAGCTGGCTTGAATCTGGGCCCAGACTTCCTCTTGCATGTTTGTGAATAGGTTTGAGTGTCCTTGTGTTCATTTGCAAAATTGTCAAACACCTGCCCTTCCTGACGCAAAAGCGGTCAGGAGGCGAAGGAGTAAGACTGCCTTCAAACGTGAGTAGAGAACAAACGCGAGGACTGAGGGTTAGTGTTGTTGCTGGTGATTTGGGGATTGTTATTAATAATATTCGACTTCACGGGGAGGCCCATTAGAATTGTCTCTGGAGGGGTTCTTTTGGATCTAGGCAAGCTGATTCTGAAGTGCATAAGGAGAAATCAACTAGCAAAAATGGCCATGGCCATCCTGAAGGAAAAAAGGACACACGGGCTCACAAAATTGCTCAACTAGATATTAAAGTCTTTTACTTACAATTGTGATAGATGCAGCGTATGTGACTTATCCGACACACCAACGGACAAAATACAGAGACTAGAAAGGCCCAGTTCCTATGGGAACTTAGCTTTTGCTCAAGGAACATTTTAAATCAGTAGGAGAAAGACACCTTCTTCCACAACTGGTGTTGGGACAAGAGGGTTAATTAATTTTCTGAAGAAAATAAAACTTGGATCCACGACTCCCAACTTACATCAGGTGGATCAACATTTAAATGTGAAAACCGAAAGCATAAAAACAGAAGAAAACCTGGAAAAATTATTTCATAATCCTGAAATGGGAAGTCCTTTTTAAGGATGTTATAAAACCCAGAAAGCATAAAAAAGATAGAAAATTTTGATTATATAAAAATGAGTAAGCAAAGTCAAAATGTACACTTTAAAATGGGGCATTTTATTGCACAAACTTAGTGAAAAACTACAATGGAATGTAATTTTCCCCGAAAAAAATTGAAAAGGGTAAAAAGCTTGTGAACACACTGCTGGTTGTGGGGGCGGGGGAGGCAGCAGGCACAAGGGGAAGCTGCTCCTGCCGTGTAGGTTGCCGCCCCTCGGGAAGCGGAACTTGGCGATATCTATTAAAATCCCAAACGCGCACTACCAGTGACCCGCCAAGCCCACGCTATCCGTAATAAACATTGGAAATAACCTAAGTGCCTGTCAATAGGGGACTGCTTAAATACACGACGATGCAGTCATACAATGGAAGCTTTTTACGGCTCAATGTAGGATTATTTTCAAGACATATGCTTATGTGAACAAAGCGTTACGCAGAACAGTGTGTAGAGTGTGCTGCCATTTGTGGAAATGGGGACAGAAAGAACATATTTTTCTTTTATATGGAAAAAATATCATTGGTAGGATATAGAAGAAACTGATAATATTAGCTCCCATCTGGAAGGCAGCTAGGTGGCTGGGAGGAAAAGATGAGAGAGAGGGTTTTAAATGTATACCCTTTTGTATCTTTTGAATCTTTTAACCATGTGAAAGTATTATGTGTGACCATATATATGCATGTATATATGTATATATACATATATATATTATATATATGTATATGTATTATATATACGTATATATATTATATAT